AAAAAAAAAAAAAAAGAAAAAAATGGAAATGCTTTGTAAACAAAGCGAGGAAAAGAAAAAGGGAGCGGGGCGGTGGCCATGTTGGGAACGAAAACATATGCATCCGACGAAATGTATCTTAGGGATAGAGCTACAGCCACAGATACAGATACATGGCCGCCTGTGCCTCTGACATCTTTCCACAAAATGTCTCGCTTGGAAGCTGTCAGCACGATATTTCATTTTTCAGCCCCTCCGTTCGCTCTTTGTTCTAATTATGGCTCTGGATGTATGTATCTTGTATCTTGTATCTCTCGCTCGGATGATTCTGACGGCTGTTGCCCAATTTCTGGCTCTTTGCTGGCTCTTTTCGTAGGAATCGCCCAGAACACGTTTCCACGATCAAACGAAAAAACGGACAAGAAAAGAACAAAAATACAAAACAACGAAGAAAGAAAAAAAAAAGAACAGGAATGTGGAAACTTGTTTGGAAAAGCAGTCGCCAGTGGCCTCATCTCTGAACCAAGCTTAGTTTTTCAGTTTACTCGGAATCGGAATCAAGCCGCGTATCTGTGATTCGTCTCCGGTTGCGCTCGCTTACATGGAAAATGTTTCGGGTCCAGGCAAAGGGTTCCGAGAATAAAGAGATTCCCGGCCATTAAAGGTTCTGGAGGCATCATAATTAGCTGGGAGAAAGATCATTAAAGATCGTGGTGCGGCACCCCTCCACGAGAGCTGTGTCTAATTGGATAACATGAATTTAATTTTATTTCATTTAATTCGGACGCAGCATCTCCGTCCGTCTCAGCAGAAGAACCCACCTACAGAAACCCGAAACAACAGCAATTTCTGGCTCTTCTCCTTTTTTATGGCGACTGGCCAATGAACCTGCCTCTCTCTCACATTTCTCGTGCCTTTCTTCGGACATATTGCATGTGAATTTGTCCGAGATGATTATATATATTTTGTGGTGGCTTTATTGTTGTCCGAATTTAAATTTTAGCCCGACTCCCTGGGACAGAGCACACAGACAAAACATAATGAAGCCATAAGCTGCCGCCATTTCGGCCATAAACCCATTTGAATATTAATTTTGTTAATTAACTTATTCAAATTCGAGAATCGTTAAAAATGGAAGAAATTCTTTTTATGGCTATCGCTCTATTCCCATCGAAAAAATGAGCATCGCAGCGAATGAAAGGCTTTATTGTCGGCAACAAAGAAAAATATACAAATTATTCACAATAATTGTGACACCCACCGAACCGATCTTCCCACGATGATTGCAGTTGGGAACAGGGTTTTTAAATGTAACTTTTGTGTATTTTTTCATATTTTCTAATTTGATCTTATTAAAAAGAACAGTAGCTTTGGAAGAAGTTATGGGTTAATTAGGAAATATGTGACAGCTTGAAGCAATTACAAATAATTACTACAAAGCTTGTACCTCTATTTTAAATAGGAAAAATAACTAAACATTGATTATATTTTGTTAATTTTGTTTTACAATTAACAAATAAAACCTTCCTTTAAGCTTATAATGATATTTAAAACTGAAAAGACCCAGAACAAATTCATTGAAACATTTTCTTTCCGCACAAATCGGTTGCGTTTCCCATTTCCTCTTCTACTTCCCTTTACTTTTTCCTTTTTTTTTTTAAAGTGAAGTTTCAGTCAAATGATTTTACGAGAGAGCTGAGTGCGATCAAAGCGAAAGCGAAACTCTTGAGGGACAGATGGAGGCAGTAGCTGCGTTCTTCCTCTGAAGGCGAGTGGAGTTCAGTTGGGCATGAAAGTACAAACTGTCGAAGGGCAGGAGTTGACTTTGACCCTGACACCGCACTGTGTGTGTGTGTATCTGTGAGTGCGAGCATCTCGGGAGTGCGAGTATCTGTATCCGTGAGTGTTGCACAATGCAAATGCGAAACGAGAAACAAATTTTACGACGTGTTTGACGGCTGTCTGCATGTCTCATGTCGCCTTGTCTTACTGACTCTGAAGCGTTGCCTTTTTCCCTTTTCGCCTTTCCCTTTTCCGGCCCGGCGCTCACTTCCGCAGCGGGAAATCGCGGCATACTTCATCCCACGTCCTGCATCCTGCATCCTGGTTGGCCGTCAGCCAGGCCTGCATTATTACCTGCGCAGTGTCAAAGGCAAACAAGATGTTTGCGCCGGCCATAAAGACCTCACTGTCCTTTTTACAGGACAGCTAAAATGGCCAACTATGATGATGATGAGTGGCGCCTGGTTTTATTGATGGTTTGCTTGCTTGAACTCATCACCCGACTCTTGTCTTCTTTTTTCAGCACTGAGGAACTGAGGCATCAGGTGGCGCAAACATCCAGTTCCAGCTCCAAGCTCCTCCAACGTCAGCAACCCTCAGCGGTGGCGTCCGGCCACAGCCACCTCGTTGCGCCGACAGCGGCGAGCATCTCTCCCTCCAGCGTCAGTTCCCATCCTACAGGTAAGGTATCAATCCATTCAAAATATAGTTTAAAGTTTCCAAATTAGAAAATATATTTATTTATAAGCTAGCTTGTAAACTATAATTTATTTCAATATTTCTATCGGATATATATGCAGGAAAAGTCTCAAATATTGATCGACTCCTTGATTTTTACATAAATGTATTATTGTAATTGCCGAATATGGATTTTTATGTGATTGTACAATGTACATACACATTCAATTGTATGAGAACGGGTTAAGGGTTGTCCTCAGTCAGTCGTCAGTCGCATCCTTTTTACGATTTGTTAACATTTCTTTGCCCTCGACTCTGTTTCTCCTCTGTTTCTTTTCTTCCATTGGCAATTGCCATAAAATTCCCATAATTGTCCATTGCTGCGTTAAATTTGGCAATTGCCGCCTTAGGCGGGAAAGGGAAGGAAATCCGTAGAAACGTAGGAAAGACGGCAGCTAGGGAAGGGATGTCACAGTGGATATAGGGGTGGACTTGAGCCCGGGGTTCCTTGGTACCAATTGTGCTGTAACAATTTGTCAAAGGAGCTGGCGCACGCATCTATTTGTTTAGCTAATTAACATTAATTAGCGCCATTTTTGTTGCCAAAAATGGGATACAATAAGCGATAGACGGTATAAATCAATAAAAATAAAACATATTATTTAAAAAGAATGTTTTTGATTGCCAAAGAGTTCCATATAATGTTGATATAGGGGCAAATAACCTTAATTTTTGTGCAGAATTTATATTGAAATCGATAAACAAGAAACCAAGCGATGTGTGTAAACTAACTTACACACAATTTGTAAACCCCCTTTGAGCCCCCCTTCCGCTGAAATCTCTGCCATAGATGGCGCTGTGGTGCGCGCGTGTTAAATATTCAAATCAGCCCCCGTCGAACAGGGAAAAGAGTGTTGCTCCACTGATGAGTCAGTGAGCGGCAAGGCACTCAAAGAGTCGCACACGTACAGTGTACGGTGCACAGGTACGGTGTGGGTGCCCCCTTTGCTGACCCCGACAAGCACCTGCTGAGCTCAGAGAATTCCAGAAAGTCGAATTGAAAAAATTCAGACTGTCTCTGGTAATATTTTTTTAGTCTTATCCCCTTTAGAAATATTCAGAACCCAGACGGGCGCTCTCTTACCCCACACACACACACACTCGTACTGCTGGGATCCACACGCACGCTGTGTACAGTGTACGTGTGCATAACGCCACAATAGAGCGCCCTGCTGGGAAAACACCACCAAGCGAGCGCATGCGCGCGCTCTCTTTCGCCTCACACGGACACGGCGCTTCGACTCTTCAGCGCGAGAGAGAGGGCGAGACTCCACCGCTGCCGTTTCCGTTTCTGGTTTTCGTGTGTCGCTGCGTCCATGTGTCCGTGTGTCCGTGTGCGTTGCCCTGTCGCCGCCGCCTGGCGATGCCAGTGTTTCTGTTTCTGGCATCAGTTCGATTTCAACTCTGCCAGCGTGTTATCGTCGATTGTGCGTTCGCTCCGCTCGGTTCGGTTGGGCAGCTACAACGGCCACCGCGGCAACAACACACAGGCCCTGCAACCTCTGGAGGAAGCTCTCAAGCTCCAGGGACTTGGCGATTTCGAACAAGCGTTTTCAAACTGGAGCTGAAATTTTAAAATCCAAATTAAATCACAAACAAAAGACAACACGGCCTGCAATGTGTGGGAAAAATAATAACATTTTTGTTAACTGTTGCAAACATTGAGTTTAATTGTTTGTTTTGGTCGTAAAATCAAATTTTATGACCAGCAACATAAAAAGCCAAACCCCAGAAGCAGCAGCAGCAGTGGAAACAACAACACCCAGTCGCGATTTGTGCCGGCATCAGAAAAACTAAAAACAAACACCCAGTCAGCAATAATAAATTATTTATTATAATTAATACAAAATATCAAAATAAATAGAAACAAGAAAAGAGAAAAGGCTAAGCCAAGCCAAACAAGTAGCAAGGAAAAAATAAACAGAAACCAGCAGAGTGTTTTTAAACTTCCAATTTAAAAAACAAAAGAACACAAAAATACCCAATTCGAATATTTCGTGAGATTTTGACCACAGCGAACACCCTGTACAACGGAAACTCTCTTTTTCGGGCCGTTCGATCGAATCATCCGCCCCATGTGCCACAGCAACAACAACTGCCAGCTACATGACTCTCTTTCGTCGTTCGCTCTTCAAGCTGTGTGCGTGTGTGTGAGTGCGTAGCGTGTACGCTTTGTCTGTGTGCGTGTGCGGTACGCAAATAAAAGCAAGGGAATTTTTGGATATTAAAAAAAAACACTAAGATACATTATTAAAAATAAAAAATTCAACAAAATTATAGTAATTAAATTAAAAGAGCTTTAAGAGGGAGAGTGATTTAGTGACTCCGAAATCGGTTGGAGGGTCGCGGCGATCGACCCCGGAAGAACTTCGATTCCTTTCGCCAGTTCGAGTGACACGCGTGCAAGATAACCGTAAATATTCCACCCCTCCCCCAAACCCCAACCATCCCGCTGGCGTGCGCTCTCTACGACCCCCACGATGTCTCGGCAGTCGGGTCGCACGCCGCTGCCGGGGCGTGGTGGGGGCATCATACACACACCCACGCCCACACCGCCCACCCGCACCTGCAGCCGCATCCGCATCCCGCCATGCAGCAGCATCACCTCCAACAGCAGCAGCAGGAGCAGCAGCAGCAGCAACAGCAACAGCAGCAGCAGCAGCAGCATCTTCAGCAGGAGCAGCAACAACATCTGCAGCAGCTGCATCACCACGCGCACCACCACCTGCCTCAGCCATTGCATACCACCAGCCATCACCACAGCGCGCATCCCCACCTACAGCAGCAGCAGCAGCAGCAGCAACAGCAGCAACAGCAGCAACTTGCAACATCGCCCTCAGCGGTGCTGCAACAACAGCAACAGCAGCAGCAACAACAGCAGACAACGCCCACCACACATTCCACGCCCACCCATGCGGTCATGTACGAGGATCCACATCCACCTGTGCCCGTGCCCATTGTCGCCGTGCAGCAGCAACACCTCCCCGCTCCCCAGCAACAGCAGCAGCAACACCAACAGCAGCAGCAGCAGCAACAGCTGGCAACAACACCAACGGTGGCCGGCGCCCTCAGTCCCGCCCAAACACCCACTGGTCCCTCCGCCCAACAACAACAACAGCAGCAGCAGCAGACGCAGCAGCAACATCTCACATCACCGCACCACCAGCAACTGCCACAGCAGCAACAAACTCCGAACAGTGTCGCTAGTGGCGCCTCCTCGAATCTCCAGCAGCAGCAGCAGCAGAACTCAGCGGTCGCTTCTGGCCAGGCGCAGATCGTGGCGCCGACCACGGCCAGTGTTTCTCCCTCCAGTGTTAGTTCCCAGAAGGAAGGTGAGGTCCTTGGAAATGCTGGGGTTGCAAAACCCAATTAATGTATTCTGAAAATCTGAAAACCATCTTGAACTTTTAACTTTTTATTAGGAATTTAATGTGATAGGGCCTCAAATCAAGATTTGGGTAATTAAAGTTTGAAATATTCTAAATAATGTATTTTAATTCCTAGAACAAATGAAAATAAACAAATTTTCCAAATTCTTAAGAATCAGATGATAAGGTTTCCTTTTTGGGGAATTTTGAGCATTACATGAAAAATACATTTTTAGAATATATTAAATAAATTTGGAATCATTAAATATTTATAATTCTCTTGGAAAATAATACGAGCACGCTCGTATAAAATTGCTTACACAATTAAAAAAAAATATTGAACTTAAAAATGAATCATAATCAAAGAGCGATCTACGTTCCCTTGGTTACAAAAACATTGTTTTTTAATATAACTATATTCTTGTTCATTAAAAAGGCTATAAAAATATTTTTTAAAGAGTTTCTTGGTAAAGTACTCGAAGTACTAGCGGTTTTGTTAAGATCATCGCCCTTCCATAGAACGGACGTATTGAAACCCTCATGGCTGGTTCCATAAATGCTCTTGGCAAAAGGGAATCTCATATGTTTATACTTTGTAAATATTTCTTTCAATTAAGTTTTACAAATATAACAGTTTGCTTATTGATATTTTTATTTCATTCTTGTCGTATATCAATTGAAAATTACAATACCTTATTTAGGGGAAAATAAATTTTGAAGTCTGTTATAAATAATATATACCTATATATTATTATTTAATATATAAAATAAACTAAGAGGAAAATGGTTTGCTGATTGACCGTTTCTTAAAAAGATATTACGGGCTTATTGGTTACGGTTAATGCTGTGTAGTATTTTATATGTTTAAGAAACAGCTTGATATTTTTTAAGCATTTGTCGATTTATTAATGTGTAAATATTATTTTTAAATATTAAACATTTAATATAATAAGGCAAGTTATCGCTAACTAAGGAATTTTAGTTCACATCTAGTAGGTCGCATTAAGTAATCAAAAATAGTCGTAAAAAGTCACTCTCCCACGCGGAGATTATTCAAATTGACTGGATATTAATAGGCCACTTTCATTCGCTTTCAGACATCAATATGTCCATCCAATTAGCACCACTGCACATACCCGCCATCCGGCCCGGTCCGGGCTTCGAGACGGACGCCTCGGCGGCGGTCAAACGGCACACGGCCCCCTGGCCTTACAATGACGATGGCTTCAACCAGTACCACGCCTCCGCATCGCAGTACTACATGGAGCAGCGGGACCGCAAGTACATGTTCCCCCACTACCCAGAAACCCAGTTTCAGGTGAGGTCGCCACACCTGGCATACTATTAGCTTTGTCCCCAACCGCACCTGCCATGAAAAATTCCTTATCGCAGCAGTACTGGCCCAACTACCGCCCCGACCAGCCGGCAACCGCGGCGGCGGCGGCCTACATGAGCGCCACCGAGGACCGCCACGTGAGCGCGGCAGCGGCCGCCCGACAGTCCGTCGAGGGCACCTCGCAGTCCAGTTATGAGCCGCCCACTTACTCCTCGCCCGGCGGGCTGCGCGGCTATCCCAGCGAGGCCTACTCCAGCTCAGGTAAGTTAGAGCAGTCGAGAGTCAAGGGAAGGTTAAATTTTACACAGAGAAAAATGTTCTCTTTATTTTATTAGTAATTTACCGTTTTCATAATTAATACAAAAGTCTGGCAGATGTGTAAGCTTAAATACAGTTTTATTTTAAATTTTATTTTGTTTTTTCTAATAACTGAAATGTATAATTAAAATATATCAGAATATTTAGAAAAATCTATGTTTCTCCGTGTGCATTTCGTTGTTGCTGTTGTCAACGTATCGGTTGGAATAGCGAATTGCGAAACCGATACCGAAACGGCAAACTTGCCGTTCAATTAGCGTAGTGCAAAACAGCCCATAAATCGATTCTCGCTATTTGGCTAGCGTTACGCCTAAATGTGGGTGTGAAAGTCGTTGGCAGCGCATTCTAGGAGGCTATGTTCCTCTGGCATCTTATCACCAGAAGTCGAGAGCTTTAAGTTCTGTCAACTAATCACCCAGGGATTTCCCTAGTAAAGAAACGTTTTTATCGGGGTATATATCATAAAAGTAGGCACTTCAATGGGTAGTCTAACCAGTTTTGCTACAAGGTGCACATAATGAAGGTGAGAAGGCCAAGTATGCATATTTCCAATATTCTCAACCCCTAAACAGTTGACAAGTTTCCAAAAGACACCTCCAATAAGTGGGATGTCACATTGTCGTCGAAACTTATTATTTATATTCTCTCAGTTTAGAGAACAAAAATGTATATAACTTGTGGATTTTTATTCTTTGTTGTTTAAATAAATTAAAAAAGAGAAAGAATTAGACATTTTTTTAAGGAGTTTATTTAGTACTTAAAAGGTAGAAAATTTAAACGATGAGTTAGCGTTTCAGAACTTTTAAGTTTAAATTTTAGTTTCAGAAAGATTTCCATATTCGTTTAAAGACTTAATATAATTCAGGAGCTTGCAATAAATAACTACATATATTAAAGTTTAATTTTCACCTCTAATTGCAGTCCAATAAAAGTTATTTATAAATTAAAATAAATCCAACTTGTCACTTTTTTAAGCATAAATTTAATAGCTTCATTTTGATGCCCAATGACCGGGAACGAATGTATGCATTAACCATTACCCATTAACCATTACTCAGTCGGGTGTGAATGGGCCTCATGCCAATTCGGAGCTCCGCTCCCCGTACCGCACCAATTAAGGGGCCATAAACGCTGAATTGAATAATTTTGTATTACGCTTATTGCTAAACAATTTCCTTAATTGCTCTATAAACTTTAACGATCTAATATTGCATTAAAAACGGAAATAGTGCGGGGACCACTCGCATTCATTTTTTTTTTGTAGTGCAGCAAAAAGTGCTGAAATTTAATCTTTAATCCTTTCATCTTTTTCAGGAGCCTCTGGTGGATTGTCCGTGGGCGCCGTGGGTCCTTGCACGCCCAACACGGCCCTGCACGAGTGGACCGGCCAGGTGTCCGTCCGGAAAAAGCGGAAGCCCTACTCCAAGTTCCAGACCCTGGAGCTGGAGAAGGAGTTCCTTTTCAATGCCTATGTGTCCAAGCAGAAGCGCTGGGAGCTGGCCAGGAATCTGCAGCTGACCGAGCGGCAGGTGAGTCATTCGACTTGGAGGATTCCGAACTTGAAATATAAAACTATATATTGTTGCAGGTTAAGATATGGTTCCAGAACCGGCGCATGAAGAACAAGAAGAACTCACAGCGCCAGGCCAATCAGCAGAATAATAACAACAACTCGAGCAGCAACCACAACCACGCGCAGCCGACCCAGCAGCATCATAGCAACCATCACCTGAACCTCGGCTTGAGCATGGGTCACCACTCCACGAAGATGCACCAGTGACCCTTGGACAACGGCAGCGCGGGCGCAATGGGCTTTGCCACCTACTAGCAGTTAGCCAATCCGAGTTCGGTGAATCCCCAGCCGCAGCCGAACTCGCAGGGGGATCCGCATTCGCATGCGCATCCGAATCCGAACCCCCACTCCCTGACCGATCCGAACCACCATATGATCAAGAACGAGCTGGCACTGGACTTCCCCTGTTAGCCAGTGGATGCAAATATTTGTAGAGAAAGAGAGGAAGAGTAAAATGTACAAAACACAGAGAGATCTCTAGGATGGAGTGTGGAGGATCACGATCTGTGGCAGCCCAGGAGAGCAGAGCGCAGGCGTCGCGCTGACGAATGATTGGAATGCAGTTAATTATTAAGTCAGTTCTAGAGATCCCCGAGATCCCAAAACCCAGCAGCATAGTTCGGTAGTTGAATATAGATACGAGTAAGATGGCAGCAGAAGCAGCAAATATGGAATATGAAAATATATATATGTACTATATGTACTTCTCTTGACGCTCTCATTAAACTTAGCGAGCACCATGAATTTTCTGAATTATAAATTATGAATATGAATATACTTAAACGTCAACGTGAATATAACCCCGCATAAATTATGAATACACGCGTTCGAGTAGTAGATTTTACCATAACTATCCATTTAAGAGCGGCTAAATTAGGATGAGCACATTGTAGACCCAGCTAAAGATGTTCTTAAAAACAAGCAAAACAAAACGAATTGTTTAACAATTTTCGGAACCCTCCCAAGTCCCCCTCTCAAGAACACACACTCCGCAAGGATAGGATAAATTTTGTCGTGTATTGTTCGTCGTGTCGTGTCCTTTGATACCCTTTAAGTTCCTGTATATAAACTAAGACATCGCGCCGACTTCCGGCCGAAGCAACCACTCGATAAACTAATCTAAAAGCAGTTATATAAATTGGAGATATTCGATATGTGTATGATATATGAACTCGAATTCGATTTTAGCAAATGGTCTAATAGTAAGTCGCAAATTTCAATGTGTGTGTGCATGTTTACTCCATAGTTGAAGTCGCTTTCGAATTAAATTAACTCTAAACGAAAACCTTAACAAGATCTACTCGTAAAGCTAAAGCAACATACAAAAACTAAAGAAAATTAATGCAAGATGAATACATTTTACTAAAGTAAGCGAGTGTGAACAAAAATAAAGAAATCGATGGACGGGGTGGACATGTCGAGGAGGAAGTAATTAGCATACCGTAACAGCTACTTATATAACTTACACATAGTACTATATAATACCATATAGTAATCGTACATATGCATACATATATTTTCATGTGTATCGATGCCGCTTGATCCTGATATTAAGTCTAAGTTTAGTTGTGTTGTGTAATTATCGATTTTGTTAATGTTTTGCCCCGAGCATTATATTATTATGCTAAAACCTAAACCTAAACCTAATCCTAACGCCTACACCTACACCTACACACCTATGCCTCTCATTCTATGTGTATAATTAGCTATATGCATACTTGATGAAGAAATGATTTCACCCACTGCTTTATTCATGTTCTTGTATTATTATTATTTTGAGCCCTCGATAAGTTGTAGTCTAAAGTCGGTTATGTTTATGATTATGTTCGATTATAGTTTGTTTAGTGAATTTTAATCTAGAATTAGCAATTCTCTTTTTTAAAAAGTTAATTATTGTGAATAAAATACAACAACTTGCAGCAGTGCAAAAATATACACACAATTTAAAAATATCCCTACTTCTTGGTGGCTTTTCAATAATCGCCGCAATATAGTTCAATATATCCTGAATTTACTCAGTTTTTATCCTTGATTTCTTCTCATCTCCTCTGTTTTTCCGCCCATTTTTTCGGTAAGTACACCAAAGAGGAGGATGTCGACACATCGCAAACGACCTCTCACCATCGAATTTACTCATAGGCATCCAGATAACATACTCGGTACTCGTACTCGTACATCACGTAAAGCAAAATACGTATGTACTGCACCTACTCGTAAGCAGATCAGTTCGTAATCTCAGCTCTCTCAGCCAAATTGAAACACTAAAAGCTTTCTGATCATCAAAATAACACACCTTAAATGCATTTATCTTTTCTTGAATTTTTATTCTTTTCCTTTGGGTTTTTCTGAGTTTTTGTTACCGTCTTGGTTCGACACTGGTATTGTAATACAGCGCTTAAATAAATTAAAACTAGAATTAATAGTCTTGTTTCGGCATATGTCTTAAGATTAAATAAATTATTACGTAACTGTGTTTCTCTGACTTTTATTAAAATCCACCTAAATATCTCTACATAGTACAGCCGATGGTTTTTTATGGAAAAAGGTAGGTACCATAATTCAGTTGGATTCAAAGTCTGGATTCAGTATGGTAGTTAATCAGATGTGGAAAAGGGAACAGGAAGCGATGGAAACTTTGAAATAGTAATAGTGTAATAGTAATAGTGATATATTAGAAAAGTCTTAAAAAAAACTACATAAATTATAAAGTAGGAAGGGACTTTAAGGGGATTTTTATACTAACTCAGGTTCTTAAAATTTTAGTCAGAAGATTCAAAAACAGTGAAGGAGTCATTTCCGACCCTATAAATCATATATATTCTTGATCAGAATTAAGAGCTGAGTCTATTAGGCAACATCTGCAAGAAAAAAAATTTCAAAATTTTTTCAAAATTTTAGAAGGGGTTACATCATTAAAATTGTCAAAAATTCAAAAAAAAAATTAATTTTGGTTTTTAAAAATTCAACATGCTGTCTTATTAACCTTACAAAAACTAGCTCAAAAAAGCTTTCCGAATGGAAATTAGTGCATTTTTGGTTTAGTTATGATGGATTTCCTTTTCGATCGAATGGCCTAATTGCTAACTGAAAGGGTATACACACTTCGGCTTCTCTTAGTAAGCTAACTTTCCTGTTTGCTCTTCTGTTGATTCTGAATGTATCCATTGGTGATCATAGTAAATTTATAATATATATTATTAATTAAAGCCTAATTAGTAGTCTTATCAATCAATTGTGATCAATCAAATTGTGATTAAAAGACTTTAGTATATCCACTCGTTATGTTATAATTTCAATTCCTTGTTTTCAAATCCAATATATTTTCAATAAATTTGGATATATTTCAATAAATTCACAAGTAAACATTCATTATAAAAAATATTTTACTGGTGGATATCTGGAAATTTATTCACTATTTTTCGTTAAGCCAGATGTTGGCGTAGTACATATATTTAGGGGTACAGCTCATTAAGATTTTGTATCAATATCGCTAGCAAATATTTGCATTGATAATTGCCTTCACTTGGGATCATAAAAGTGAACCCCGCAATCTGTTCTTTGTTTAAATGCTATTCAACCCCTACCTACCAAGGGGTTGCAAGCGGACTTGAGACAGTCGATAGATGCATATATGGGTGTACATGGAGTGGTATGGCCATGTACCTCTCGCTCAGTTGTATCTACCTATATAAATTTGAATAAGTTTTCATCGATGCCCCGAGCTTGGAGGCTTCGGGTTCGGGGCGGGAAACGCCATAAAATGCACCCTGCTATGTAAACACTGCCATGGCATTTCCCCTCTTTCTCGAAGGTCCACAGATTGCGAGATAAAGAGCTTCAGCCTCAGCTTCGGTTCTGTTCGGTTCGGTTTCATGCGTTTTTTACGTTATGTACTAGAAGCAGCTTTCACCCATCGAACGGCAGTGGGTTGCGATTTGCTCCTTGGGGTTGGATGGATTCAGACAGGGTCTTATATTGGGGATGTCGATGGGTCTACTCAGCGGGTGGTTGCGTCCAATAAACTTACCAACCACCGACATCGAAATCGTAGTTTGCCGAGAGCCAAGCATTTTAAAATAAATCGATTGAAGTGTGGTTCTCTAAAAATAACAATGAGAACTAAGAGGATTTCACTTCTTTTTGTCAGAAAATCAAATGAAGAGAATTTTAGTTTAAATTTATTTACGAAACAAGTCTTCAATTCTTGATTTTAGAGTTTTTTGACGAAAAATTGGAACAGGTTTTATATTATACATATATGTTTTATATTAAAGCTTTTACAAAATTGGCTGGTTAAAATTGTTTGGTCTTGATTCCACACATTTATCATTATAAAACAATAATAACAATTAATTAATAATATTGTGCGGTTGGGTCCTAAGAATGAAAATATAAAATAATATAAAATATTTATTTGTAGAGCTTTGTGACATTGTGGACTATTTATATTTTGAGTCAGCGATGTTATTAAATATCTTAAATGGTTAATGTGAACACCGAACGCTGAAGACGAAACTGTAACATGTTCTGAATGCTCTGACCTCAACGCACTTCTAAATCTGCATTCTAGATTTCTTAATTTTAGAAATATTGGTGACATATTTGACTGTGTTTTCTGAAGCCATTTGATAAGCCGGAAAAAAACTGTCAATTCCTGGATTCAAATACTCGACAAAGAGCGTTTAACAGAGAAAAAATATGTTCTTAATCAATTTTAATTAATATAAAACTTAAATTATTTAAATGTTTGTATAATTTACTTTAAACAGTTTTTTTTAACGAAAATCGTATCGACTTTCGAATCTGTGGGAATTTGATTATTACGTATGTATACGGATATAAAAAGGTTAAGCAAGATTGAAGACACACAACTAAAGATTTCATGAATTTAAGACAAGGTGAATATAGTTTTTTAGGGTTAATTTATCTGTTTTTCTCAAATTTAGGGCGAATTGCGATTTCCTTGCTTATTTTTTCATAAAAAGTACGGTGAATTTGACCTACAATTTGTGGTGTAAAAAATCTTACAAGTGTACAAATATAATTTCCAACTGTTTTTGACATCCCCAGAATGAAGGGGCGGTTGCAGGCCAAAGGTATGTATAGTGGCGAGCACGTATGAATACCAGTTTGTGCTATTATATACATATGTGGTATTGTACATATGTGCTATTATTATTACCTATATTCTTTTACTTAGTTACTAAACATATAATTAAGTATATAGTTTTTAAATCGAGAATAATTGCCCTTAAATTTATGTGAAATGTGTCTTTTTTTAAATCTTTCAAGATATAAGAAAAATTCACCTTTTGTTATACAAAGATTTTTAAATATTCAGGGAAAATTGAAATATATGGTAAGATACGTAAAGTGTATACCGATTTATTTAAATTTATTATTAACAAAACTCCAAACTATCAAAATAGTCGTTGGTATACATATAATATATAGTCGAATATTGATGTTAAATCACCAAAATCTTACCGACTCTGAGGGTTAAAACATTTTTTACCCGAGGGGATCCTTGTCGAATTCGGGGCATATGCGGGGTAATGGTAAAAAGTTGTCACAAAGTGCCCGTGGATGCTATGAAAATATGTACCTAATTCAATACGATTCGATCTGGTAATCAAAAGATAAGCGTGCGGGAGATGGCAGCCATGTGAACCGGACTCGTTTTGGGGTTGAAAATGGGAGATGTGCCCCGGGACCCCGGGACAAGCGGAGTGTAGAATGTCGAAGGAACAACAATCAAATGATTAGAGCGGCAACAACCACCGTGGCCTGGCTGGGAAACTGGAATTCAAAATTGACTCGTCGGTGTCGTCAGCCTCGAACTCGAGTGCCATATTCAGTTTCAAATATAGCCTCAGGCCTCAGCTTCAGCTACAGCTACAGCTTGGCTTGGGTTTTTTTTTTGGTCGACTCTCGGACTTGTTTCGCACATAAAGATACAAATGTATCTGCGGCAGACAGCAAATGGCGTATATAAAATGATTGGACATGAGCCGGTGTGTGTGTCTGTGTGTGTGTATCTGGTGGTTGTTTCTGCCATTCGGTCACCGAGAGCGAGGGAGACGGGTGTGTCAGGGCCGAGAGAGAGGCAAGATACACGCGCGTTTTACGACCCGCCGCTCCTCCTGGCTTTTCATCTTTTGGCATTGGGTCTCGGAACGAGCACGCCAACGGGCAGGGGAACGAGAATTCAGAGAATGAGAATTCCGAGTTCTCCGGCGAGTTCTCGATTCTCGCACTCGCAAGTGTTGCCATCGCGCTTTCTGCTCTGCCGCTGCGCTGCCCGGGGTTTACGATCTTCCATATTCCATTCCATTCCCATTTTTCCCTTTCGGTTTTCTGCCGTTCTGTTTTCGGTTTTCAGTTTTCGGTCTTTGCGCCAGGTTCACGGCACATCCTCACATCCTCGCCGGCATCTGGGCACTGGAGACGCCAGCCACTGCCACAACCACCGCTCTTGCCGTGCACCTCATGTACCTCAGCCGTTGTATCTATGTATCTGCGTATCTGCGGCGACGCCGGCTGCTCTGCCAACGACGCTGCCACTGCAGCCGCCTTGTGTCAAAGTGAACAGCAAATATTATTTTTTGGACACTTTGCCATCGCCGTCGCGTCGCCCGGAGCTGAACTGAGCTGAGCTGAGCCGAGACGAGAGATACGTCCTGTCCTGCTCCCCGTTCCCGTTCCCAGTCCGGGTTCCATTGTCCTGACGAGCTGCACAAGTCGCAGTGTCGCATTCGAGGTCCGACTGTGGCTCCCATTCGACCTTTTGTCGGCGGCGGTGCTGCCAATTGTGTATAATTGAAATCGACCCACAACAATGGCCCAGGCCAGAAGGAAAAGGGAACCCAAAAGGTACCCAAAAAGAGCCCCGAAGAGGTCCAAAAGTAATTCCAAAAAAATTCACAAAAATAAAAGAAGTGGCTGTAAATCAAACCCAGCCGGTTTGGGTTCGCTTGTTGCCAAAAAAGCAAAGAAGAACACAAGAATTAATTATAATAATGACAAAGAACCAGAACTTCGTAACGATTTCGCGCGCGTTCGTTTACCTAATTGTGAATGTGGATTACAATTTCGCGTGTGCGAGAAAAATATGAAGAAAAAACTTAAGCTTGGACTTGCGGTTTGGAGGACCAGGACCAGTAAAGCCGGTGGAGCTGCTTTTCGACTCGGATCCCTCGAGTGCGCGGGGCGTGACTTCAATTAAAGTGATTTGTGGCCGCCGTTTTTGACATTCGAGACGTAAATAGCGGCTCTGATTCATGGAGCTGCTAAAATATGTATATTTGAACATGGTCCTCGACCCACAGTCACGTATCCCTACGCGAAACCGCCTTCAACTTGGCTAATTGAAAGGGTCCCTTCGTTGAGGTGAGTACATTACATGCTATGCCTCGGTAAAATTCCAATTGTAAAGAATTTTATATGATAGAATATAATATAATATAATATTCTTTGGATATTTGAATTCAGTCTTTAAAATTCGATCTATGTCAAAGAAAACTTAAAAAAAGATTACCCATACTTCCTATTGTAGATGCCTAACTTCTTTTGCTGCTTTGGCAAAGCTAGTTAAATATCCCATTGACTAAATCCTGTTTTCTTAAAAATTCCTATTAGATCGTGCCGTTAGCACATCATAAAAGTCAGTTGAATCTTTATATTCCTTAAATATTTCAAGCCAATAAGATTCTCTAGACAGCTTTCTGATGGTTTTTATATCCAAGCCACTAATTATATTCATAAGATAGATTTATCTTTTATCCAGAGACACAAATCATTTAAATTCACACCTCAGTCATCATCGAGAAAATATAAATTTATATAGCAAGAACCTTTAAGTAATTCTTCTAAATTAAATATAAGTAATCTTACTATTCCCTGGAATCCTTTCTTTAGCGAAATCGTCTTTAATAGTTTTAGTTTATTTTAAATATACTTCAAGTTTCCCTCTATGGTAATTCAGGATTTAAACAAGTCGTATTCTCTAACTTATCTTGGTTTTGTTAAGCAAAGTGGGGGAATGAATATATTACCTTCGATTTCCGGAAGAAGACCAATGTTAAACAGGTAGAAAACGCTGAAAGGGTTCTTTACTCCTGCTCAAAATGATTTATGGAAGTGCGAACTGAAATGCTTTCAAGGAAGCCCACGGCTAGTGACGCAAAAGAGGGCCAGGATCAGCACGACTCGAAAGGATTATGCTGATGACAATCCCTGATCCCGAGTTCCGAACTCTGAAAGCGGAGAAAGCGTGAAGGCGGGTCATTTATGACCACATCATAAACAGTTTACAGCAGCTCGGGCCTCAAAATATTTTGGTCAGAACAATGGGCCGTACGAGACCATGGATAATTCCTGGACAGAGATTTCTGAAACGGGTTGGCAGAAACTAGAGCAGAACTCAGCTGGAGTTGGACATGGAAATGGGTGATGTAACTGCAACATATGGCACTTCCTGCTTAGACTCTCTCCCAATCGAACTGGCAATGAATACATAAAGACCATAATTGATGACGTGTGGAATGGTGTTCTGTCACAATTTAATTGCCGCCCTTTACGGGAAAGAGGCGACAGACTCAGCCATCCCACGAAAAGTGCGTGCTCTTCCCCCCAGTCCGGAAAATTAATGGGAATATGTTCGAGAAGAACATAAATAGAAGTACATATGTACGGCTGACATGCAGGCAATCGTGTGTCACCACCGCCTACAACTCATTAAAATGCCAAGAGCCAGACCCAGAGCCCCAGAGCAGCCAGGGAGGGTTCGGCATGGGTTCCCGGTTCCCGGACCCCAGTTTCACAGGTTCCATCTTATCAGTTCCGCGGAACAGGCGGCCCAAAAATAATGTAATTTATTCCGACACTTTAATAAAAACCGTGGAGAGCCCAAACTCTCGGCAACAAAGCAAGACATTATCGCCGCATAATTAATGCCACATGTTGCAATGCGCTGCAGCGCGACAATAAAAAGGCTCCTTTGTCTCCAAGTCTCGGGGTTTTTGGAGTTTCGGACGGTGGAGCGGCGGCACCCATGAGATATCATAAAGCCATCCCGCTTTTAATTGCCCGCCTAGAATATTGAGCGCCCCAACTCTTGAGCTCCATCTCGTTTGCATAAATTTATCCCAAATGAAAATCGGCGACGGAAAAGCCTGAAAATCCTGTCCTGATAGCCCGGCTATACCCCACCCCTCTCCCTGGATTTTCTCCGTCCGCTTTGGCTTCCATCTCGCTTTCCTGGCGCATGCGCCACTCTGCCGTCGGAGGCCATTATAAAATGGGCGGAGCCATCGTTAGCTCACCACGAGCTCAGCGGTCGTGGTGAGTTTCCGCCTGCGACCCTTGTTGCCTGACGGCAAGGCGGAAAGGAAACCAAACAGCTAGGTATCGGATGTCTGTGTCATTTCTCAGAACCCCGAGTGCCCGCATGTCCTTTGAATATCTAAATTTGAATAATTTAAAATGGGTCCTTTTAAAAGAAAATATTTTACTTATAGGATAGGAAATGTTAAGGTTAAGCGTTTTAAAGTTCTTAATTTTGATTTTTATTTAGAAAATACAAATAAGTCTCTACAGATAATACTGTATTATTACTAACAGAATGGTTATTATAATATTTAAACTAATAATTGAATACTCATTGCGAATAACTAATAATATTTATTATATTGAAACAAATTTGTATATTTATAGATAATAATATACAAAAATAATAGGAGTTTGTGCTTGTGGCTTTGGTTAACAAACTATACATCTTGTGCATATACATATATCGTGCAAAAAATGATAGATTGACATTTTCGCGTCGTACAAGGATATATAATATAACAAGAAAGAATGCTAACTTTGGCCAGCCAAAGTTTGTATACCCGTGCAGGTTAAAATTAAAATATATCATAAATAAGCCAAAAATGCATTAATTTCGATTCGGAAAGCGGTTTTGTGTTAGTGTTTATAAGCCTAAAAAAATTGCATACCAAATTTTAAATTTTAAGAAATCAAAATTTTTGGCCATTTTTGCTAATTTTAATGATGTAACCCCTTATGAAATTTCGCAAAAATGGCCAAAAAATCGATTTCTTACGGACATGTCTAGAAAGATTCGCATGTTAATGCTGATCAAGAATATATATGGTTTATGGGGTCGGAAATGATTCCTTGACTTAGAAAAATATTATTTTGTATTATAAAGTCTGATTTTTTATATTAAGAAACTTCTTGATTTTTTTTAAATTTAAAAATATCATAACTCGGCCAAAAGAACATTAATTTTAAATCGGAAAACTATTCTGTGCAAGATTTTCTACAGTTAATAAATCTGCATACTTCATTTTTGAAATTTTGAAAATTCAATTTTATATCAAAAACAAAAATTTTAATGATGTAACCCCTTATAAAATTTTGCAAAAATGGCCAAAAAATCGATTTTTTCCTGACATATATAGAAAGATTCCCCTGTTGATGCTGATCAAGAAATATACTTTATAGGGTCGGAAAGGTCTCCTTCACTGCGTTGCAAACTTCCTACTGAAATTATAATACCCTGCAAGGGTATAAATATAGAATTAAATAAAAGTTGTCTAGTATATGTATACTCTATATAACATATAATCACAAGTCAATCACACACTCGTACTTTGGTTTGAAGAGATGACTTGGGAAACCGTTGTTTAATATACACACAAATCACAGGTTTTTAATTTTTTTTTCGTATTTATGTTGTATTTTTTATTTTGAGAATATTGTGTCCAAGTTTTACAGCAATCAGAGGAAAATTGACGAAGTTATGCAGAGTTGAACGAAGGTCTGTTAGTGTTCAATGCATGAGCATCACTAAGTTTAAAGCGCTCTCCTAAAAAATGCCATTTTGAAAATCGGTGTACACGATAATTCAAAAACTACTGCACCAATCGGTTTGAAATTTGGAACACAACTCCTTTAAGTAATTCTACAGGTACTTACGTCGAGTTTTTTTTTTAATTTTATTATATATTTTTGTCTCGGGACACTTATCCTTTAACCGATGAGCTATACATTTTTTAAGTCGGATGATTCTGTGGACTGTTAGGATGTACACCGCAAACCAACTTTTTTTTGGAGGCGACTCGGGAGATTCGCTATAACTCCTCTGCCTGTGAATATTTTTCAATACAAAAATTAACAAAAATTGTTCAAATGATTTGTTTTTATATGGTATGTAATTCATTAAGCTAACTGTAGCCATTTCGGCACAAAACTTTTTTGAAAATTGGGCATTTTTGCACCGAATTAAACTTAACCAAAATATATTTGGCCCTGATATCGAATTGCTAAGATCTATCTTTGTTGTGTAGTGTAGTGTATTTTGTCTACGCGCTGTTTACAGTTACGCACATATCCGCCCTAGCAGCGACCTCTGGTGCTGCAGTTGCGCGTGGTAGTTCCGCATTCCCAGAACCAGATGGCGCTGCAGGGCGGGAAGTTCAGCAGTATCTCAAGAAGTTCGCCTTCACTTCTCTTTTTCGCTCTTCCCTAGCTCCGCAGAGAATTACACTCTGTACTGGCTTACCACTACAAGTGCAGAGCTTCGATTGCCGTTGTGTTGGTGGGTCTGATTTGAATGTGTTTGTGCTGGTTGGCGTTGACGTCGCCGCTGGTTTTCTCACTTCTCGTTTTTCGATTCTCGTTTTCTGAGCAGAAAAATGTGGTCGAAAAGATTCCGAAACAGTATTTGAAATATTTGAAAAAATCTCAAATAAAATGTAGTTGTAGATTTCAGAGGATATTCCACAATTGTGGGATAAATACTGTTAGAAAAAATCCCTTTGATTTTCCAATTGTAATTCAAAATCTAGTTTCCAACATGAAGGACAATTAGGAGTCCATATTCTACATTTTCCAACCAAACCTTTGTGGATGTATATTTCCAACCATCGAGTTCAACCGTGTTCCAGTTTAAGCCTTTTTACAAAATTTTTATCTAAGGACTACCCTCATTCCACAACATATCATTTATCAAACCGATGGCCAACGACTCACATCCATTCCACAAATTAAAATTGGTCGCTATCGCTTGTTTTTCCAATTGATTTATGGCCCACATAAAAAGTTGAATGAGGAAAAGTCGGCAAAGCGAACACGTGTGCCCAACTATCAAAGAGATGAAAAATTATGACGGTGGGGGAGGAGCCTTCTCTAAACGCGATTATAATTAAACAAATTGTCAACCGTCGAAGACATGAAAAAACGCCATAATTCATTGGGCAAGGCCCGAGTGGGATCCCGCCGAGTGAGACGTCGAATGGAAAAGTCAAGTAGCCAATAAATTCAGATGGCAACGGGTCTGGAATTTTAAAACAAGAACCAAAAAATAAAACCTCTGCTGATTA